GCGTCACCCTCACTGTCTCTACTTGTCACATCTAATCTGAGCACTTTGGTGGGGGGGTTATGTAATGCCGCCGCTCAGGTCATCTTCTGCAGCCCCGCTGTCCCATCTGGGCCCCCGCTGTACCTCCCACCCTCCCTTCTGGTGACCCCTCAACATTTACAGCTCTCTTGGGGCTGGTGTCACCCCCAGGAGCATTTGCAAATGTGTGTCACAGAACTGCGGGCACCTCTGGCATTTCATGGACAGTGCTGGGTATGTGACCACCCTATCACCAACCACAGAACCACTTGTCCCACCCAAAATGCCAAGGGTGCCCCCACCCAGAAACACTGAATAGACCCTTCAGGCACACCCACCTGAGGTCACCAGGGCTTTGCCTTAGGCCCATTCCTTCCTCCCTCCCTCCCTCCCTCCCTCCCCTCCCCTCCCCCCTCTCTCCCTCCCTTTTTTTCTTTCTTTCTTTTGTGTGTGTTTTTTTTTAACACAGCAAGTATTTGTACTTCAGTCCAATACCTGTTTGACAAGGGTCTGCAATGCGGTTCTGTTCCTGGGAGTCACTCAGAGATCCAGGCCAGCCAAGGCCAAGAGAGTAAAAGTGGTGCCTTGTGCCCTGACTCTTCAGGCTTCCACCCAGAAGCTTCTGCTCCCATCTCATCTGCCAGAGCAAACCACACGCCTCACCCAGCTCCCTGAGAGTGGGGAAGCACAGCCCTGCCTTGCACAGGGGAGCACCAGGGCTCTTTGGTAGATAGCACTGACTACTCCAGAGGATTCACCATACATCTGCAACTTGTTTCTACTCAGTGATGTTCTGAGATGTAGTCAGGTTGATCCATATAGATCTAATTCATGGCCATGAGTCAAGAGACCAGACGGCAAGAGTAGATGTTGGATGAGTCCAACAGGCAGGAGTCTTCTCATCACTAGTGTCCTTACTAGTCTTCTTGACGTCCAACCCAGCAGTTGATCAATCACTCAATCCATCCAGGAGGAGCTATTTATTCAGTGCCTTATGGGTGCTCTGTGCCAGAAGATGCCCAGAGCCAAGGGGGTAAACTGTGGTTCTCCTCTCAAGGAGCTTGGTTCAGGTGCAGCGCAAGGCCCGGTGCTGACGTGTGGACCCCCAATACTGAGATGCTCACAGCAGGCAAGGACTCCCGAGGCTGGAGTAGCCAGAGGTGGCTTCCTGGAGGGGGAGGGCTAGGCCTGGAGGGTTCATGAGACTGGGACAGGCAGAGAGGAAAGGTGGGTCGGTCGTCAGTCTGGGTATAATGGTGACTCATGCACCTGGTCAGTCGGACTGGTTTCTCCTGGCCGTGAGTGGTCTCCCTGGTCGTCGTCATCCACCTCCTTGGCTTCAAACCTCACTGTGCCAAGGACACTAAAACTGAGTCTCCAGCTAGGACCTCACTCCTGAACTATAGACCATTGCCTCTGATGCCTCACAGGCACCTCTGCCTGGGAGACTAGGGCACCTCGAACTCAGCATGAGTTGGACCAAGCCCTCCAATTGCCACCAGCGACATCTCCTTGCACATCCAGAGCCCAGATGATGTGCCCAGCCCTTCACACTCAAAACCTTAGTGTCATCTTGGACACCTTCTCCCCCAACCCTCCCCCTTCCAATTGGTCCCGAAGTCTGGTGTCCACACCAAGTGGTCCATGACTCAGAGGTGGTCTCTCTGCACTCCCTGTACCACGGCTCTTACCCCCTCTCTCCAAGTCCGCATGTTGGTGCTATTGGGTGTCCTTGATCATGGTTCTGCCCGTGTCACACCTTTGCTCCAGGGCCTTCTGTGGCCGCCTTACCTGCCGGATCCAGTTGAAACTCAGGCTGATCTTCCCGGCCGCACAGTCTCACTCACCCCTGTCGTGTTTCACCTTCTGTGCCTGCTGGGCTCTGCCCATTGCCAAATCCTAGCCACCTCCAAAGGGCAGTACTCAGCCCTCTCCTCTAACTAACCTCTCAGATCCCTCCGTACTCCCTAGTTCTCTGCGTTACTTCTGGAATAACAGTGGTACTGAAATCCATTCCTGTCTCCCCCGCAAGTCCCCTCTTGCCTTGGGTCCTAGGGCCATGCTTTGTCCACACTATGCATCCGTTCCTATTTACCGCATTGATTTCCGGCACACGGCCCCGCCCTGCATTCCCCATCCCTTCCACACCCGAGCACAGTCTGCATCTTCCAGGCAGCCTCCGGGAGTGCCCATCAAGAGCATGTTGACTTTCTCACCCAGCATCCCTGCATTTGCCTCGGTTGCTTTAGAAGGGCTCCTTTGTTACGAGAACGTTGACTTTACACCTACAAAGTTATACGGTTCACTCCCATCTCTTCCCAGCTTCCCCAGTACCGCCCAATACATCCCTCCAGCCACTGCCTCTCTCCTAGCCCATTCCCCACAGGGTAATGCCTGTGTTGTCCTAACTCAAGTTCACTTGCTGCAAGGAAAGCTGAGAGCTCAGCCCAAAGGGCTGGTGTGGAAGAAGAGGCTAGAATTGATAGGAACTACCTGGTGCCAAAAGTGCTCATCCAGGCCCAGCTGGGGGTGTGGGGGGGGGGG